ACACACACACACAAACACACACACACACAACATTTTTTTTTTACTGACTGATTTCAGACTCATTTTCTTCCCGTGTCCTCTGTCAGATTTCTCTTTCTTCCAAGTGAGGGGGTGGCTCTGTCATTAGGCAGGATGAGGCCACAGTTGCTGGGAGGCAGCAGCAAGGTATTGAGGAAAAGAGCTGGGTACTACCCCCCCCTCGTTGTTTCCCACCTAAACTAGGCTGCTGCACCCGGATGTGAAGTGTTCTTTCCCAGCCACAGTACTGAAGGAAGTTTCAGTTGCCAACGGTAGGCTTTGCCTCTTGCTTTTGCCCTAGGCAGCCAAATGCCAGGAGCTGGCCATGTTTGGCATGGTCTGACCACCTTAGAAATGAAGGTGCTTTATTAGGCGAAGTAAGCCACCTAAGGAAGACATATTCTCTTCCCTTTACCACTGAAAGTGGTCAACCACCCCTGGTGGATGCTCTGTTTTCTGAATGGATTCTGGACTTCAACCCCCAAGTCCTGCTGACTTCTTTCAACATATGCGTGAAATTAATGGAGAGCTAAGTCTCCAATCCTATGGATACTTGCTTGGGAAGAAAACTCATGGAGTTCAGTGGGATTTACTGCTGTGTTCACATGAATGGGAGCAGTCAGTCCATCTGTTAAAGCTGTGGCAGACAATCTGCTGCCCTCCAAATGTTTTGACTGTTGTTATGCACTGCCAACCCTACTAGGGTTTTACAGCAACCCTACTAGGGTTTTCAAGATACATGGAATGTCCAAGAAGTGGTTTACTATTGACACCCGCCAGTGAATTTCCATGCTTGAATGAGGATTTGAACCCAGGTCACCTGAATCTAACTCTTTGCCCGCTACATGACAATAGGTTTCCAATGGAATTGCTGTTTTGACAACAGTTCCCATAAACCCTCACCACTGGTCATGTTGACACTGTACAGCAAGTCAGTCAAATCTGCTCTAAAGCTTAAACAGAGACACTGTTGTAATTCGTTCCAGGAGCAATTCATGGGGTCCTTATCTGCTCCAGCCCCAGGAGCGCTTGCAGGGCCACCCCCAAATCTGTTTAGTGATGGAGAGCACTCCCTTTAATTCTCCTAGACAGCGCCTTTATAGAGCGAGCATTCTTACACGTGTCTATTCACTCCTACGGAATCCCATGGGCACAGGACTGTACACACCCCGCAACCCCCGTTGCAATCACTCTGAAAAGAACCCGGAGATCTAGGTCAGCACATCGGACAGTTCCCAGCCCTCTCGGAGAGCTTCGACCACGCCAGCCACTCTCAAGAACGCCCCGTCTGAGACCCTCCCCTCAGCCCCTCGCCCACCCCGCTCGCTTCCTTTCCTCTGCCCAGCTAGCAAGACGACCTCTCTGCCAATCTAGCCCCACCGGTGTCCACGTCCGCTCCCTTCTTTTCGAGTCCCCCCCTGCCCACAGTGAAGATGGCGGAGGCGGTGGCTTCAGCCGCCTACGCCAGACAGGTGGGCGCTACCACGGCAGAGCGGCAGGAGGGGAGTCGT